AAAAAAAAAAAAAAAAGAAAAAGAAAGAAATCTGAGTCTATAGGCACAAATTAATTATATGATAGCACAATAAATATAGGGATCAACTAACTAATTAATATAATCTAGCTAAGCTACCTAAAATGGCTGCTCAAACAAGAATTTGCGATATATTTTATTTTTATATTAATTTTAATTTTAATTTTAACCTCTCCAATGCCAGAGGAGGCACCAGTGATGAGCACCACTTTGCTGTCCATGTTTTCACTGTCGTAGTAACTCTTGTAAATCCTCTCGCCCGCGTTGACCAAAAACAGAGTCGGCCATGCAAAGGCCAGCATCAGCAAGCTAGCCGGCGGCATGAAAAAGTCAAGGGCGGCGTTGACCAGATTCATGTTCTCAGTCTCTGTGTGTGGTGTGCTTCGGGTGAGAAAAAAGTTAGTGAAAATCAAGAAATTACAGAAGAAGTGTGGTGATACGCCGCTACGCAGAGGAAAGTATTTGCAAAGTGAAATAAAAATGTTTGTTTATTTATTTTATTTTCTAAATTTTGGGTTACTTTTTTTTAATCTTTATTTTGTTCTGTTTGAAGAATTTGGTATATAGCGGTAGAAGATGAACACCATGGATGCATGCAGAGGTGGGCTGTGAACACGTGTTTGCTGTAAAGCGAAGATGACTGGCTAATATGGACAAGTCTCATTTTTCTGATTTTATATTGGAGATGCTACAGTTCGGTTACGAAACCATTCCATCGGAATTTGTAACTGTTAGATCTACTATCCCTACAGTTATATGATGATGTAACTGTTACAATTCCCCACAAAATGGTCCGAGACCGTAACATTTCCCCATTTTATATACAGTATTTTTTCTAATCTAATATTCACTATAAGATCGAATATTATTATTTACTAGTAATTACTTATATTCATTGGCATCCAAATAGTGACGTGGGTCCCATACGTGAACTTTTTTTTTTTTTTGGTACAAAGAAAGAGACAAAAAGCCTAAAACCATTAGACAACTAGACTCCGCGGGTAAGCAACGCCAATGAGGTCATGCTGTAATCACGGTTTAACTCTTGGAGCCGTAGATACCCACTAGGACACTGATGGGCTAGGGTCGCCAAACAGTCGGCTGCAAAATTGGCCTCCCTATAACAATGAGACACACTGACCACTCAAGCCCGGCCCAACATCTCCCTAATTGCCCGAACCAGGCTGCCATGGATGCCGAGATTCTCAGTCGAACTCCCCGTCGCCATCGTCACCACACACGAACTATCAACTTCAACCCGAACCTTACGGAAGCCCAACTCCCAGGCTAACATCAGCCCGTGAAAAAGACCCCACAACTCCGCTCCAGTGATGGAGCAAAACCCAATATTCATCATAAACCCCCCAAGTCATCTACCATTAGCATCACGAGCTAGGCCCCCAGTAGACGCCATCCCACACGAAGGTAGAAGTGATCCATCTGTGTTGATTTTAACCGTACCATCCTCAAGAGCAGTCCATCGAATGAAGTGGACTCCTCTACCCGAACCGAAGCCACCTAGGTGGGTCTCGACGGAATTGGTGAGACGGATCCCCTGAACAAAGGAGCGGACTTCTCGTATGTGAACTTTATTATGCGTAGCACGTCTAAAATTGTGAAAGCTTTCATAGAGTATAGTTGACGTTAGCAAATTAATAAATTATCTAAATCATAATTAATTGCTTAATAATCATAATTAAAAAAAAAAAAATGAAAAACATCACAAATCAATACGATTCAACTAAAGCACAAAATCAAGTGTGTTTTTTAGAAGAAGAAAACGATGAAGAAGGATTTGCAGAGTGTTTTGATTATATTTGAATTTTTGTTTCTGTCGGCCAAAAAATGTCAAAGGTAAGTGAACGAAAACTTTTTTAATCTTGCCAAACCAATGGCCTACCGCATCTTTAGCTGCTCACTAGTCCCGTATTTTTCTCACCCTTTCATAAAATAAAACTTAAATTGTTTTTTTTTTCTTAAAAAAAAATCTCTAATTTAATTTTATTTTCTTAACTTGTATTTTTTTTTCTTTGATAAAAATAAAATTAGATCAACATATAACATTTTTTTATTCTTTTTGGAGAAGAATCAACAAGAAATTAAAAAAAAAAAAAAAA